GCGGTGGGTGGTGATGACTAGCTGCCTTCCCTCTAGTCTTACACTGCTAAATTAGGGACGGCTAGCGCAGATAGCCCTCGTGTAGCTTTGCGCGAAATTCCAAAAAACAAACAAACAAACATTTTTAGCTTTGGCAGGTAAAATTTTTGCCACCTGTCTAGTGAAAGTGGTTTTCTCCAGGTACTCTGATTTCCTCCACATTAAAATTTTTTGGCTGTTGGATCTATATATACCAGGCCCTGAGAAGGACCTCATTTTGTATGCTTAAATACAATTTATCCTTTATCATTAAGTATAATCTTTAATTCCTTGTAATTATAACCTATAACTTTGTAAGTTTTAACTGTTACTATCTCATTTCAAACGTTAGTCAAATTGTTATGGTTTTTCCAATATCATTTAATATCCTTAAATTTAAAACTCACAGTTATGTTGTTTTAATCAACTTAGTTCAGCAGGGTGTACTGTATGCTGCATCTCTCTGCTCATTTCTCCAATGCTAACTACTTCATCACCTGATGTCATCACCATGTGTGTAAACAAAAACATGTGCATTCCACATGCTCCAGCCTCGTCATACCTCTACACTCCAAGCTTCTATCAAGATAAGCTTACCTTCTCCCTTCCTTCCTTCATCGCATTTGATCTTCATGGCTTTCTCTGGATGCTTTTTAGGCAAAATAGCTAGATAGCATTACCCTCCCAAGTTAAAACTAATCTTAAAATCCTAGTCACTCACCTAAATAAGCATAATTATCAGAAGTTATCATACCCACCATGATACCTATAAGTCTATTCATACTCCAGTAGATCTAAATATTAAATCTATGTGCAGGGCTGAAGAGAGAAACAACAGTTTTGGGGCTTGTGAGATTTAAAACCTAAATTACTGCCAAGTTCATTGAGTCCTTTTCAGGCAAAAATCCTCAAATGAAATAGCACATGTACATCATCGAATAGTTTCCAGTTATCAAACCAAAAATGACAGTAATTGAGCCACCCAACTTTGGGTGATGCAAGCCAAAAGTTTATAAAAAAAAGTGAAAATGTGCCCAATTTCAGGGGCTTCTTTTTATTCTCTTTCTCAACCAAAACTCATAAAACAAAATAGCCCATGTACTCTATTGGGTAGTTTTCAGTTATCACATCAAATATTACAGTAATCTAGCAAGCCAACTTTGGGTAATGTAAAACAAAAAAGTCTATAAAAAATGTGCCCTATTTCAAGGACTTTTTTATTCCCCTTTTCAGGCAGAAGTCCTAAAACAAAACAGCTCTTGTACACTGTCAGACAGTTTCTAGTTATCATACCAAAAAATACTGTAGTCGAGCCACTGAACTCTGGGTGATAGATGCTAACACATACACATACATAATGGATCATCTTTATAGTAAGATTGATACTTTATCCACCTCATTTCACTAATTTAACACCACCTACAAACCTTGTCCTCACCATCATGAGTCTGTAATGCTCTCTAAAATTCAATCTGCTCTATTGGATGTAAATGTATTCAATAATGACCCGTTATTATGGGTTGAAATGTTATAATTAAAATCACAATTTCCCTTATTTAAAAGTTATTGTATTTTTGAATTAATTAATTAATTAGTAGGTTACTCAACAAACTTTAACTTTCTTTTCATTTGATGGAATAAATTGCTATATCTATTTTAGATTTTAAAAATTGTGTATAAAAAAAATAAGAAAAAAATATATACAACTGTTTAATACTGGCACATATTTTCCTTTTTTTCATGAGATCATTTCATATTGTTTAAATGTCTTATCATCACACTGGTTTGATTAAATCACTGTAACTATACTTAAGCCTAATCTCTAAGGTAAAAAGGAATAATAATAATAACAGATAAACATCAAAAACTGAATACATAATAAAAATAACTTTATATATTAATTTCTTAATCTTAAATACGTAACTTATAATGAAAACATTCAGTGTATGTCTGCTATTTGTTTCACCATTAACACCAAACATGTAATAAGATAATAATTACATCTTTACTATTCATATCTTAAAATCATATAGAGAGGCTTTAGCTTATTGTAAAATTTGCAAAATTAAGTGCTGGTACAAGAAAATAAAAGAGTTTGATATACATATTCACTAAATATAACTAACCAATATCAGGTACAATATCATTTTTTGTGCCATTTGCAACTGTCCTCCAAGCATTCTCACATAGTTGTTTGATTCTATAACTGGCTGAGAAACTGAGCATAGGGATAAAAGTAAACTGAGAATAGGTACACGAGTAAAACTACTAAACCTCACAGGAAGTACATTGATATCTGCTAATAAATCACACATATGATACGAGTTATCTATATAGGAAACACAATAAAATATATTGAATTAATGAGCATGAACAGCACTCATAGTTCTAAGTACAATATGAGAGCAAAGCTATTAAAAACTTCAACTAAGTTATTCACAATTTTCACTTGAATCACTCCTACCCTGATTTTTGTACTTTATTCAATATGTTTTCTTGCTTCCTCAAGACTTCAGTATCCTCAAATTTCCCTTCATCATAGTCTGCAGAACAGCCACTTATCAGTTTTGGTACTTGATTCTAAACAGAGGGGAAAAATGTAAACAATGGGTCTGTAAGTAAATACAACTCAAAAAAGAATATAGCTGTCATTTATTGCTTTAATTTTATTTTAAATACTGTTTTAATAAAACTGTCTTTCATTCAGTCTGTTGTGCTCACTGTGCAGGAGTCTGAAAATTTTGTTTCTCATGAAATTTTATTCAATCAAGTGAAAAAAAAGAAGGAGAACAAGTTCAAGCTAAGACTCCCATGACCAAATAGATCTTTAGTGAGCTGAAATGACTTGCCACCAAATGATTTTTTGTGTTCAAAGTGAACTTCTCAATAAAAAAGAATTAATATATCATTATCCACTTGATATATTAACACTAAAGATATACATAAGGAATGAGACATAATTATCAACAAACCTGACATATGATGCTATGATTAAGATCGGGTGTTTCATTCTGTGTAATTGAGGATGTTGTGTTACTTTTGTCAGATGACAATGACACTTGGTAGCAATATCTTTCTTTTCTTTGCTCTTTAGCTGGTTGAGCTGTCTGAAGAGATAACTTATAAGACATTTCTGTCTCTCCAATTGGCTAATAAAAGTAAAAGATATAAAAATTGATTAAAATGACAGATGAAAATTATTTTTTAGGATGCAATTAAAAGTAGCTGCTCATCATTACTGTATGAGAACACAATAAACAGCACACTGGTAATAACAGCTTAGTTCTAATTAAATAATGAGATATATATGTATCAGAAAAAATATGTAAAATCATTAATGCCAACATAGAAGTAAGAAAAGTAAAACATCATTCACTAGGTTGAGTACTGATGTTTTCCTTTTCTAAACAAGATATATATTTTAATGGTTTTTAATGTTAAAAAATAATGCCCTTTAAAGTTAATTTAAAACTGAAAAGGCTGCCCTTTCTGTTTGTAGTGAGCATACTCCATACTGAAGTGAGTGTCGTTGAAATGTCAAGATACAAAGCTGTTTTCCAAGTGTTCATTCATGAGAGCTGGTGGAAGCATTGATCACTGGCATTTCAGAGTACACAAAGCATAAAAATCAACAGAAGGGAGATGACTTTATAAATGTTTTTTTGCCTAGTTATACTATTATAAGTCCAATTATCTTTTGTTTTTTTTGTATATATACACATTTACCCAGGTATTTAACTTTCACACACACACACATACACAATAATCTTAATTACAATGTGTTTGTATATATATATAGTAAGTATAATGAATATTGTTGGATCATCAACCACCAATCTCATTTGTTCATTTCATTTTATGGTTTGTCCCATGTAGTTTTTTTTATTCAGTTTGATTTCCAATGCCAAAATTTTCATCTGGTGCCAAACTTGTTTTGAAATTAAACTGTTTTTTAAGCCTTAGGCCTTTTTTGTTTTTAGTTTAAAATATGGTTTACTGAACACAATTTTGTAGTATTAATTAAGAATATTTGTAAAATGTTGATTATAACACTACAGTTTGAAAATCTAAAAATATTTGTAAAATGTTAATTCTAATAGTAGATTTTGAAAATTAATCATTTGAGATGTAATTCAGGTGAAACTGAATTTTCTAAATCAAATACTTACAACATGATGAAAACGTATACGTTCAAATTATCAATAAAAAACAATATAAGAAATTTCATAACCAGAGCACTTTCAAAAGGTAGATCTTTCTACATCTTGGACAAACTAGGAATGTTCCCTGACAAAAAATGTCAACCTTTCTAAAGTGCTGGGGTTATAAGGTTTCTTATTTTGTCTTACAAAATAAAGAAGTCAGAGGACTAGAAAGTTACAACTATTAGATTACACTGAAGTATTACTGTTAGCAGTATTTTACTATAATTCTTATAAATGTTTATAATGTTTAAATTGGTGCTTCTAAGAACAATATGAGTGTGGTATCTATGCTTAAACTTAGTTTATGTACAGAAGCATTACTTTAAATTACTCAGATTTTATGTATAGCCAAAGTGATTTGAAGTGCTATATTATCCAAGGTTTTTTGGACTAAAGATTGAGTTAACTAGTTCTTTGTATTATGGCAAACAAAATTGTTGGTTACTCCCTCAAAACACTGAACATGGTTAATTGTTTTTAAAATTGTCTGCAGACTTAAATGGACTTTCTTACTGTGGAAAGGTTTTATTTAAAATTAGTAAAATAATTTGATAAACTATAAATAATTTTCAGGTGTGTAGGTACAAGGTATTTAGTGAATCACTTCTGCATTTTATGAACTCAGTTTATTCTTTCTTTGAATTTTAGTAAAACTAACACAAGTTTGCATTGAATCAATAAATGCAAACATCCACAGTACATGTAAACTGTTTTTAATACCCCTTTAGTCAAACAAATGTTCCATATTCATCTCATTTATGCAATTTCCTTCAATTTATAAGAATATTATGCAAGTAAATCTGAAAATGTATTTATGATAATATAAAATCTATAATATTGTATATCTTTACTATTTGACCAATAAATATGAAAAAATATTAACTTTTTTTTTAAACAAGTTAAAGAATTTGCTAGAAACATACATCATGTGGATCTTGCAACCAGCAACAATCTCCACCATAAGAGGTACTATAACCTGAATCCAAAGTTTGTCTTTTCTTTCTATCCTTTGAGAGGCTATTCTGGATTTGTAGCTCACCTCTGAAATGCAAAACTAGTGTATAATATTATCAAGTTGTGAGCTACATAGTAAGAGAAAAACCAAAGTAATTAGAAATAAGTATACAAAACAATCATACAATACAGACATATTTTATTACTGTTGATCATCTGATTCAGTGTATGAAGTTATGTGGAAAAAATAAAATTATCCATTGATTAAGCAGCAACATTTTAAATTATGCAAATCTTACATAAAGTAAGTGTTTAAGACATTAAACATAATTAATGGAAGTTCCATCATTAACAGTATTTCAACTTTTATTTCTTATGAAATAACAAGAAACACAATTTATACTTTTAAAAATCTTCTGAAAGGTTATCAATTAGAATGGCCAGCAGGCATCACTTACCAAGCAACAAGAATAACTATGTCAAAACTAATCAATCTATAGATATAGTAACATATAGACCCAAACCCAACTTTACTAAATCCAGACTTTGATTATACAATGATTTTGAAGTCATATGTAAATTATGCAAAAAAGCAAAGGTTGAATAATCTCGTTAAACATTGGGCCTTGACTCATAAAACATTATGAAATATAATATCAAACATAGTCCTTCAAATCTGATAAATGCATGAGAACTGTAAATAGCCCCCACCAAACAGTCCAAGGGGGCTGTTAGAGGGATAATGCCATATCTCAATTCTTTGTTTACAAAATTGGACAATAATAAAAGTTAATTTGTATTGACGGAATTTATTGTTTTTATATCAACAAAACAGAATTTTGTTAGCTAAACTGAGATTTGTTCACAGCATGCCACTGAACTATGACAACATCAGATCAATACGGCAGCATTTGTGGCTTCATGTCATGCAGAGAGTGGTTCACCTGTCAAACAAAAGGAACTGCAAACACATTTGTGAATGATACTTCTTATTCGTGAGAACTCAATATAACATGTTAGACTTGTGTAAGAAAATAAGGCCTGATTTTGACTTAGACTGTTGTGCTATGCAAAGCTACAATATGTTTTCTGCCCCTTCAATTACTAAATAAATATTTCAAAATTTCTGTATACTTTATGTTGAATTTAATACAGAAAGTCAGTCAAGAGAGCCACTAAGTTACACTCACTTTAGTTTTTCATAGAACACACACGTGTTCCCCATTAGGAAAGATTACATTAGCATGAAATATGCAAAAAGATAGCAACTGTGATCATTTCTTGTGGTAAACAGGGTGATGTCCTAAGAGTTTGACATCTCCTTCTTAACTTAAAAGTGGCCCTCCTGTCATGTGAATGGTACCTGTGTCTAGAGTGAAAGTGTATTGTATACCTTACTTACTTTACTGTGTTTTGTTTGTTTCAGATGATTCTTTATTTAGATTCCTTGTAAGACAGATTTGGTGAGGTTGTTTGAGATTATTTGTTTTAGACAGATTTTTTTGGTTAACTATTTAATATACATTTTGGTTTAAGACAGTGTTCTCTTAGTTTTCATACAGATTTACAGGTGTGGTTAAAGTCTGTTACACTGTACAATATCTTACCACAATTATTTCACATTGAGCTTTATCAGAATCATCATAGCCAAACTCACAGATTTGGTTAAAGATGGTTACACTGTATAAAATCTTACTACGATGTTTGTACATTAAACTGTGTTGGCATCATATTATCCAATCTCACCAATTTACTTAAATATTGTTACACTATTCTAAGTGAAACATACATTGCAGGGTAAATTAAATCCATTCCTGGTCAGTTGCTTTAAGTACCCACCTGAGATGAAGGTAGTAAACAATGTTTTAGTTGGAAATAAAAAACATAGAACATGAGCTTACAAAACATCAGCTTTCCTAAAGTTTTGGTGGTAGTCTAACTCCACAAGAACACCTTGTTTTTTGCTGTCTCGAATGGCTTGTAATTCAAGGTATTTGAAAATGTGTGCCTGGCCTCTCATACACATCTGTAAGTTATGTGACATTTAAGAATAGTATCTAATAATTTGAAAAACACTGTATTAGTTCAATAATATGAAAAAAAACATATTTTAGTTATTAATAGATTTGAAAGATGTAATTTAAAAAAAAGAGAGAGACAAAAATATGTTTATGAATAACATTTTATGTTTTACAACTTTAAATGAAAATTTTCCAATCAGGTATGTAAAGTCAATTTTTATAATAAAATTATCAAAGAACGTGTAAGTATTTTTTTATGCTAACCTACCACAATGGTTAAAATAATTATAGGAAATACTTTAAAAAAACAAATAAGCCAAAAGACAATAAAAATCTAGTCTTTAATACAAATCAAACTGAAGGCTTTTTGGGTTTTATTTTAAATATTAAAAAAAATCCTATATTTTTTGGGATATGCACCAAATACAATAAACACATACTTACCACAGCTGGTGGAGAGATCATAGGGTTTCTGTCTACAACCAACTGCAACAGTGATGTCATCTGTCTAAGTAGTGTGGGTAAGAAGGTAATTCTATTGCCTGATATATCCAATTTGACTAGACGGAGATCACAAACTTCTGGAAATAAGGATGTTAGGTTGATAACTTGAACAAGAAAATTCATCACATGTTGTTTATAACATATTCAGAACAAGAACCAAAATTTCCAAAGTTATTATTTTCCTATACTGAAAATAAATTTCCAATAGGTTCTTACCTCCTCCTACATGTATAGTTGTTCTCGTTCAGTACTTCTCTCTATGTGCACAATTTTTTTTGCATGCCACAAGCCTTGAACACACATGTGCAACATGATAAATGTAGTTCAACTGTGTCTCACATGTACATCATCATGAGACAACCCTCCATAACAGGAGTGCGACTTGCCCTCCTGGTGCATGTTACTCCCTCTATTCGATTCTACCAAACTGTCACTTCGAGATAAGACAGAAAAGAAAGCACTGGTTTTCAGTGGGGACGAAAGAGAGGAAATGTTAAAGGAGGAAAGTACCATTCGGAAACCTTTTTTCAGTATAGGAAAATGATAACTTCCGATACAGTGCATTACTTCTTCCCACATATATAGCTAGGATCCTACACTGAATAGGTGGAGGGACCAGTGAGAAAGAAAGAAATGAGTATTTGAAAGCATCTGAACAACACCCAGGAAATTTAATCCCTGTTGGGAAAGGAACACGTGTGGGAGACCACACAACTTCTGTACTAGGTATACTGTGCATCCAGTATGGAAATAGGTGGCACATACATGGGTAGAAAGTGAGAGGAGCACAACCAAAATGGGAGAGAAAACTAGCTGGGTTGTAATCCAAACCACAATATACTAAAATCTCAATCCCATAGAAGAAAGACTGTAGAAGAGCTTTCTACAAACCAATCAAAAAGTGAAGGTGAGCAAAGCTGCATAGATGGAGTCAGCTGTGCTAGGGGTTGTGTTGCACTCCTACTGGTGGAGGGTTGTCGCATGCTCATTTGCATGCTCTCACACAGTTGCCTCACATGGAAACACGTGAGAGTAGGTGGGAGTATCAATGTTAGTAGTGAGTGAAAATTTGTGCACGTAGAGGGAGGTGTACATTTTTGAGTGTGACTATTTCAAACCTTTGAGTCAACCACTATGCTTGATCTTAGTCATCATATGTGGTTTGAAGTACTTTTAACATAGTCACCATTCTCGTTCTCGAATATCTAATGAAACATAAGCATTTCTTTAGTTTCGAGTATGACCTAACTCCAAGCATTAACTATGGTTTATCATTTATAAACCCATAAGACTTAACAATGCTAATTTTAGTTACTGTCATAAGTTGAAAAACTTTGTTATTGCATTATGTAAACTACAGATATATACATGAAAAATACACATATATGTATGTGTGCAAGTAAAAATGCCTGTTGTACCCAAAAAATACATTTATTCTCATAATCAACCAAAAAATGTTTTACAAATAATATCAGATAAAATCTTGGTAACATTCAATGGTAAGTCTGAGAAATGATACCATTTTGATTTATTGTAAAATTCTTTGAAAGTTATCACAAGCAAAAAAAATTACAATACTCAAGGTTATTTTTAAATCTTTTAACATTTTCTTACTTACATGTACATTGTAGATCTTAGTACCTTAATTTGAATTCTGTATTTTACTTATTAATATATTAATTTTTGAATGGTTTTATACTGTGTCAAATAAAATTATTTTGTCAAGCTGTATGTTGAAATTTTTGAATTGTTTGTTTTGCTGTTAAACACAAAGCAACATAATAGGTTATCTATGCTCTGCCCACTGCATATACTGAAATGTGATTTTTAGCATTATCAGCCCTCAGACTTACCACTGAGCCAACAGGGGGCTATTTGAATGATACCATTTATATTTAATATGCCCAGAGACATTTAATTAGCCAAGTTGAATCTTATATACTGTGTGAAGTTCAGTAAATAACATTGTTAATAAAACAAAAAACTAGGGTATTATTTACATTTAAATATTTTATATTAATGTACTTAAAAGTATACATACACTATCCTACCAAAAGTCATGGGACACACCTCTGACTGCAAGAAAATAGGTGTTACGATGAAATATGCAAATTGTATAGCCTAAAAAAGTGATCAGTGGTTCACTCAGAAGTCATTTTGAACTTGTATGCCAAACAATGAGTACATGGATAGAGCTAGTTTGATGTCATTTGGGGAAAATGTCTGTACGTGCTATTGTGCAACAATTAAATATTCCCAGGTCGACAGTTGGCAATGTGCTAAAGAAATGGAAGTCCACAGGTGACAATTAGCCCAAGAAACGACCAGATAGGCATAAAATACTGACTGACAGGAGCTGACATGCCTTGAGAGGGATGGTTACCTCATCTCACCGTCAATCCCTAGAGAATCTGTGTTTGGAGAGGTGAGCAGCCACAGGCAATCCTATAAGTGTTTCTATGACACGTTTGGAGCTGCATGCCATGAATTTTCACAGAAGAGCTGCAGCTCACAAGCCATTGATAATGAAAACAAATGCACATCATCGATTAGCATGGTGCCTGGCACACTTAACCTGGACCATGGATCAATAAAAATCGGTTCTGTGAAGTGATGAATCATGCTACACACTCTTCCAGTCTGATGAGCATGTTTGGGTATGGAGACTGCCTGGAGAACACTTATTACCTGAATTTGTTGACTCAACACTGAAGTTTGGAGGTGGTGGTATCATGGTCTGGGGTGCTTCTCGTGGTATGGACTAGGTCCACATGTTGCAGTGCATGAATCCATGAATACTGAGTTCTATGTTGATGTTCTGAACAATTCTATGTGCCCCACAATTGTGGAAATTTTATGGTCCCGGCCCTTACATCTTCCAACATGATAATGCTCCATGTTACAAAGCAAGGATTGTGAATGTGTGGTTTGAAAAGAATAACACTGGAACATTGCAATGGCCAACATAGAGCCCCGACCTCAACCCGATAGAACATCTTTGAGATGAACTGGAACGCAGAATTAGGGCAAGGCCAAGACAGCCCTCTTCAGTAGTGGAGCTTACTAATGCATTAAAGGAGGAGTGGAGCAGAATACCATCAACTTTCTACCAGAAATTAGTAGACAGTTTTCCACAATGCATTGAAGTAGTTAATAAGGCCAAAGGCATGCCAACATGCTATTAATTTCTTGTAATAAAGACATGTTTTAATTATAACTACCTGTGTCCCATGACTTTTGGTAGGATAGTGTACATACCACAAATATCAGTAAAATTTCAAAAATATTATAAATATTCAGCATAAACTTACAAGCAAACTACTGGTAAAAACTGTGGTTTCACAGAAAGTATTACTAAATGGTTACAATGATCTTCATACCTGGTGTGTTTATAAATGTTTAGTTTCTATTATAAAACAGAAGAGAAATATCATTAATGACAATATATAAGTAAATAGTACTGTTCTAAATTGTCCATTGTGCACAGATAACTCATTTATTAACACTTAAATATTTTTTCGTTATTGAGGTGAAGCTAATTTTGAATAGTTATTTGAGATGGAAAACATGTTTACAGATGACATCCTACAAAACTTTCACATGAGTTATTGCAAAAACCCACCTATTGGTAACTTAGTTAACAAGTTTTTCCGTAAATTAAGTGATCTGAGTGACTCCAGGTCTCCAATTTTTGGTGGTAAGATGGCAATCTGGTTGCAGGCCACATCCTGAAAATTTTCACTAAGTTTCCATAAATTAGAAATGTATACATTACCCACATTTAACAAAAAAATAGATATAATATTTGTTATTCATGTATGCAGAAGATAAAGTTGCTGACTAAGCCACCCACCTGAATGTAAAAAGTTATGACTTACAAAATACCAGCCAATACTAAACTAATACTAAAATTCAAGTATTCTGCTTGATATATGTAAAATAGCTTTAAAATAGGCTTGCAATTTAAAAGAGTAATGAAATTTCCATGACACTGTTATGAAAGTGTTTCTTGTATTTTTATGATCTTAATTAATTTTCAGTAGTTTTATTTATAAATTTAAAGCTGGTAAAATAATTACTGAAATATTATAAGTAAAACTGTTAATTGAATATGCTTCTCTACAACATTTCTCTTTTCAATATTTAAGAAAAAAAGTTTTTCTTGTTTTAACATTTAAAAAAATGGCATTGAATTAAAGTTTATTTAATTTCTTTACCTTTTGTAAGTGTTTAAAAGTTATACATATTTTGAGTTAGAAAAGAACTCAGTAAACACATTTAAAAACAGAACTGTTTAATAAGCTTCTAACATATACATCATTTGTTTATTACCAGTTCCATGAGCTGATCCATATGGCAAATTTCTTCTGGAAGAGAAACAAGTCTGTTGTCGCTGATGATCAGTACTTGAAGAGGAAGCTGACATAGTGATGCTGGAATGGTACACAGTTGATTATGGCTAGAAATGAATGAACATTAGACCTCAGATAAAGGAACATATGTGACCATCTGATTATGATTTCATCCACACAAATAAAACTTTTTATGGCTTCTCCAGTAAAGATGTAATTGAGAGAATTAATAGAGAGTTAGATGTACATAAATGAATATATATTTATCATGTATATTTGCTTAGCATGTATTTATGTATCATGTATATCTCTTTAAAAATGTTGTTCATATGCAATTGAATATATCAGGATATATCAGATGATGCTAAGTGAACATTAGTGAAACATCTTAATAGTTATTTATGTTTATAATTATTCTCATTTTTAGCTGAATAAAAATTTTAAACTGAAGCTCTGAAATCTTCCAATCTATATACTTTAAACGACAAAATAAATTAAGGAATCAACAAATTATAGCATGTCCTTCAAAAGAAGCTAAATTTAAATATAATTCCCAAACTAATGATGAAAGTGAAATGTATTGTTTTCTTAAGATGTGCAACCATAACACACCAAACTGTGACGTGGAAACAAACTGTTTCACAATAGCCACTAATGTGTCATACTTCGTAGTAGGAAGTTTCAGCATTTATGTAAACATAAACATTTCAAAATCCTAACTTTTTACAGAAAGAACTGTTTAGGTTGAGATTCATTCATACATGGTTTTCATGTACACACATGAAACATGACATATCTTGATTGCAGAGTCATACCATAATCACAGTTTTGTGTACTATAATTTTGCCATAAGTAAATACAATAAATTTCACTAATTTATCTATTTTCAAAATATATTTCAATAACATGTTAATCCTCAATTTATTTTGTCCAGTATCTATTAGTAATGAGTGGTTTAAATGTATACCCAATTCAGCTATATAATTTTGTAAACTACTTCTAGCCCAATACAACTTAGATAAAAGTTATTTGTTGTTAATTTATCTCACCTTACAAGAAATGAAATATCAAATCAATATGCACAAATCCTATAATGAAGAAATTCTATGAGATTTTACTTAAGAATTAACAGATCACACACTATCAACAGCATAAATTTATACTTTTATAGTGGCCATCACGTCACCGCGATAATGGCAAATAGTTTTCAATGTTTCATTTCCATTTATTCATGTAAAATAGGCCTAAAGAGCTAGAAACTAAAACAAACATATAAGTCTACAAATAATGAATTATGGTGCTCTCTATTGGTATAAGCCAGCATAGCTACTAACTATAATTAATATTACTCTAAAAACTTATGCTATTTACTGTTATTAATTTCCTTTAATGGTTCTAAACAGAATGAAAAACTAATATTTATCAATATATAAAAATACAATACCCTATAACCTGAGCACTTTTGGTCTACCTTTCAAAAGAGCTCGGGTTACAGGGTGTGAGATAGCAAATTCTATTTTGTTATGATTATGGTTGTGTTTATCATTCATTTATTATTTCCTTCTATCATTTAGTTTATCTATGAATTTTCACCTTCCACATAATCATTTGTATTTGAGTAAACAAATATATGTGTGTATGATGAAACTGACACCAGCTTCCCTAGCGGTGATGTACAAATACTATTAATATAACAGAAAGGTATGCACATTTATGATCACATGAGGCTATACTCTCAACTACTCTGTGAATAAATACCCTCTCTTCACTAAGAGAGAGTGAGTCACGAGATAGTTATTGAAGGGTATAGTTACTGCTATTTGTCACTCAATATTGAAATGTACTGTTTGAATATTGTATTTGCTGTATTTTTTTGGGGGAGATTAGATTTTTTGTTTCTGTTTCTATTTCCTGATCCGATTATTATTGATTTATTAATATTTATGATAAATTGTTTACTGATATTGGTGTGAATTCCTGGCCAGGCACTTGTTTATTAACTGTGTTGAATTTATTTTTAAGTATTGTTATTGTGAATAAATTGTGTTTTTGTTGTTGAACCCTAATTGTAGCAGCTGTTCATTTTAGACCATTACAAGGGTATCGTATTTTTGAGTTAAGTTGATTTCTTGAACCTACATGTTTTCTTGACATCATGAATGCATCGGTACATAAATTATTATATTGATATGGTGGTTGCTAACTCAAACTTCGTATTTTGTTTTGACACATTCTATACTGATTGTACTAAGATTCTTTTTAGCAAAATTGAAATTATTTCAAATTCAAAGATTCTTTTATAAAAGCATGAAACAAAAATAAAAGTAGTAACATTTACTGCCTATAGCAGTATAACATAGTTCCTCAATATTTTGTGGGAAAAAAATTAAAAACATAAGAATGTTTGTGAAAAAGAGGAAACTTTGATTGGGTGGGACTAAAACCAATGATTACCAATCATACAGATGCTTTAGCCAACTAAATAGCTACTGTGTCTTGAATGCCACAAACATCAGCTTTCACTTAACTGTTTATTAAGAACAAATGAAGTGAGGACTGAGATTTACAACATTCAAGAGATTGCACTATAGTTGGCTATGGAATCTCCCTGTTGGTAAAGAAGTGTTCAAGACCCATCCAAACTTGTTACTTCTTTAGAAAAATTCTATCTTCAGATGATGGTATGCTACTTTTAAAATTTATACAGTTAATAAACCACAAGAACAACATAGTGCTTTGGATTCATAAGTGAAAGGTTGTGGGTTTGAAGAATTTAGTCTTATTTCAGTCTGAAATCAAATATATTGAAATTTGTGCAATCTAATTTACAGACATACATTATGTGTATGACAAAATTTTAAATCACTAAATTTTCTCATAATTTTGAAATTACAAAAGCAAAGTTTTGAGAATTAAAATTTTATCTATAACTTTGTATTTAAATTTTTTTTAATTCTGTTTGAACCCCACAAGTAGTCTGTCAGGTACATGTAAGTTTTGTTTACAAAAAAAATTGGGAAAGACTTTTCTTGATTAATAACATATTAGTTTTACAAATAATAAATACACTTGTAATGCTGAATACTGCCTTTATAATTTTTTATTTTAATGCCATTTTATTTTTCTTGTTGGTACTGTTGTACACTGAAGAATAAACTAGCAGCAGGTAACTATGGAAAAATACAATGCATTGAACAAGCTCATAATAAGACAATAAATGGAATGAACATGGATCAATGTTATGTTAAATCTGACTGGATCGGGTCCGTCAACAAACTAAAATGTGTTACTGAAAACTGCTAATTCTAAGATAAGAAACTGATCAAAATGTGAGATATTTTTTACTAATGCATGCACATGTGTGAATAGACACAGATGCACTGTTCTCAAACTCAATGGGTGAATACTGGTAGCATCGTGAAATGTAATGAAAACTATACTACTCTGTCAAAGGAAGTTGTGAATTAACTGATAGAAGTAAATTTGTTAAATTAAAAGATGATCAATTAGCATACCAGTTAAGAATTAAGCTAAACAAGTCAAATAATCATAATGTTACTCTCAAGTTCAAAAAATAAATAATTTCAAAATCAACTTAAGATCTTATGGAGACAAGAAAAAAAACATTACTTTCTACATACCTAAGATTTATGAAGGTTAAGGACTGTAAGGCAATTACAGTGTCTGGAAGGCAGCGAATAACATTGTGGTAACAATTCAAAACTTCTAAAAGGAAAAATTCACAGATTTGGGTTGGAAGTTCATTCAACTTGTTTTTGGATAAATCTAGAAAAAAAAAGGACATTTTTATACACACATGTAGTTTCTGTTAACACTAAAACCTTTAACTACAACTGTAAAGTGTTGTATTTTTGATTCTCATAAGATTTATCATAAACTTAATTTTCATTTGTGAGATATTTCAAAATACAATCATATAGGGCAGTAAATACTTAAAGTTGACAAGAGAAAAATATTTATTTATTGACCATGTATATGCTCTCTTCCAATTAATGATTTCTTGATTTTATGAAATGTCATAGAGGAAAATGTTCATTTTTTACATTTGTATGTTCGACAATGGATTTTGAATTTACATTTAAGGTGCTAATGAAATAAATGTTGTAGAAAGAACAGAATTTTGTGGCAGGAACTAAGGATGATCTCTATCTGCAGTGTATTATGAAACAAATGATACAAGTAATGCCATAATTATTAACCAAGTGGAAAAAAACTTCCTTTGGAGCTTTAAAGATTCTTCAAGGTAGGAGAAAACAAGAAATGTCATCAAGATGCAATGAGTACATAAGTTTATTCAGGGTATGACTGGTTCAAGAGTAAAACTGATTAGATTTATGGGGCAGGTTTAAAGTTAGGAAAAAAAACATGAAGTAATGTAAATAATTATTGAAAAAACACATATAACACCTTCTGTTAGTATCATGTTACTACCAGTGGAGAACATTGCTAAATGTGACCTTGTGTAAGAATTGAGTTAGCAATGTCCTTCAATGGTTTTCAGGTAATATCTAGAGTTTACTGTCTCAAATATGTTTTCTGAGATTAACTTGTCACATGGTAGCACTAGTTTAAAAATATAAATACATGGTTTCTTCCAATCTAAAATCCATGAGCATGGGGCAAAGTAAGGTAAGCCAACTAGCTGAGTTAGGTAAGGTAAGATATGATATGGAAAGGTAAGGATATGAAGCCTTGTATCCTGTAGTCCAACTGAGTCCTTAATCCAGTGAACAGGTACACACACTGTTTTTATGTTCAGTATTTTATCAAAGACTGTGCATTTTGGTTATCACTTTTTTGTCCAGTCTCTTCATTTCATTTAGAATAGTCTCAATTAATAAGCCTTTTCAGTATTACTCAGTAACTTCATATCATGATCAAATTTCCTATTTAGTAGATTTATCCAGTGAAGTTCTAAAGTTAATTCAGTTCACCTGAATATACTACACATGCATATAAATTTCAGCAAAGAATGGTGGATTTGGCCATCACATTATAATGACCCACAACAAAAAAGATGATACTTTTCAGTGACAGAAGTGTTTTTAAATACTGAATGAAATTTAAAATACTAAGTTACGTTCAGCTATTTTTTTATTTCTTGGAAAGACACTGAATTAAAATATCTATTTCAGAATTAATATCACCATAGTAATTATCTTTACATGATATGATGAGAGTATCAATTACAGTACTTCAGCTTATTTTCTCTATGGTGCATTTTATGAACCTGTTGTCAGGAGAGTATGAAAAAGGGTTCTGCATAACATATGCTTTGGGTCTTTTTGCAGCTATGACCATTTGTGTTGCAGCATTAATTTCATTAGGACTTCATGCACAACAGCTTATGTTACTGATGTACAGATGACACAAAAATTATATGATAAAAATTATAAATTTTGGGAGGGAAATTTTGATCAGGATTTAAATGGATAATAAAATATACTAATAAGTTTCAATTAAATTTCTTAAACATTACTTGGCAGTCTTAGTTCATTCATATGCAAATACTGTACCTTTGGTGCTCTTGAAAAAAACATATACAAGATGGACAAAAATAAAAATGTGTTATACAGTTTTTCTATTTTACACTTTTGACTGTGGTTATATGTGTTTGAGGTGTTCAAGTGCTCTCTGACTCAAATATACACAACACACGTATACGCTAAATTCTGCTTTTCTATTTTTGTATGATCATATACAAATTTTGTTCAGCCCTTTCATTGTCATTTTTTTTGTAATTATGATCATCACATATTATATAATTCTTTGACCAACCCTATGCACCAAAATCTCACCATTCACAAAAAATAATTAAAATGTTACGCTGACTATTATTTTCAAAAACTAACAAAAGTGTTACATTAATAAAAAGAAATAAGCATTCTTTATAAACATATGTCAAATTTATTAAAATTATCAAAGTAATAACTTATTTTTCCTAACAGAGGTTACTTCAAAAACCTTTCATTAATATGAAAAATTACATATAGTATCTCTAAACTATAAGTATTGTATGAATATCTAACACCAATTTACTTAATATAAATATTAACATTTTTCTAACCTGAAAATGTATTTCAGATAGATACTTACCTCTCTTGCACCACAAGAGCTATTATCTCATTTGCAACTGCTGTGGAATTTCCTATACAAGCTTTGAACAAACTCCCACCCCTAAACTTGTCTACAAATGTATTGCAGCAACTATGAAGTACTTGTAATAATGCTATAGCCCCCACCAACTGGAGGGCAATACAAACTCCATGTGCAGGAAATGTCCATGAGCACATATACATGATCACAGGCTCATTTTTGAAAAGGCAAACAAATGCACCAGAAGTGGAAAGGAAGTGCTATCTGAAATACATTTTCAGGCAAGGAAAATGTTAACTTCAGAATAATTTCATACCTCTCTGCACCACTAAGAGCTAGAATCCCATATTGAAGATGGTGAAAAAGTCGGTGCTGCTCAATTTCAAAGATGAGCTCCTGTCTGAAAAAGATGCAGAAAGGGAAAGCATTGAGGTGTGACTTCCATGAGACTGGGGATCGCTTCCTAGAACAACACCTGTTGGAAGACCACATCCATCTCAATCAGTGAATACTCTTTGCCCGATAATATTTTTTATCTATACTGAGATATTAGAGGAAAAAAATATCAGGAAAATCCAGTGCTGGTAGTTATGTTTTGTTTAGGTGAATTAAACATTAGAATGTGTAGTGTGGCTCAGCCATCAGCCTGTTCAGTCTTGGACAAATACTTGCAAAAGATAGATACTACAATGACAAGTGAAAGAAAGAGGAGCCCTCACATGCATCCCAAGGCAAATTCAAGTCACATTGGATGTATCCAATGTATGCTGAACAGCAGGGACTGCTCTTCTAAAGACTAGATGGACCCCAGAAAGAGTGGAGGTATCACAAACCTTCTCTCAACTGGAAAAGAAAGACATTGGTGGAAAGATGCAATTCAGACAGAGCAAGGAAGGATAATATCCCTGATGACATTTGAGTGATTGAACCACCATGGCAGAAAGGGATGAAAAGAAAAATGGAAAGGCATAGTGGCAGATAAGAGATCACAGGACATGTGCCACAGATCCCCCCAGACACTCCTGAAAAGGGTGCACATGTAAAAGAGACTCCAGAGTGCCCAATAGCAAGAGAGCCTCTCATTCAAAGACAGAAAGATAATGAAGAGACTTCAATACCAAGAACTTCATAGCATGAAGATGTAAGGTTGAACCTACCCCATATGAGAATCAAGAAAACTCCCAGGAAGAAGTTGAAGATGTAGAAGGAAAGAGAATAAGTAAGAGGCTGAAAAGAATGAGAAGGTGGAGTATGAAAAGCATGGACAGACCTTAAGAAAAAAAATTCCACAACCCAAACATCACCAGTGAAGGGAGATTACAGGTGTGAAAGGGGTGAGAGGCAGGTACCAAAGGTTCCAGGGCAAAGATTTGGCTCCAAGGAAGAGTTACCACTGAGAGTTTCAAAGATCTACCATGTGGAAGGGGGAGCAAAAAGTAGAAGTGATATAATGAGAAACAGGAGAGGGTTGCCAAAAGTGGTATCCATGGTGCAGTGAGATGGGAAAACAGGGAATCGAAGGAACATTGTTGAAAAGCAGCCTCAGCCCAAATATCCAAGAAACTTGTAACACCACCAAAGTGAGAAAATAGGCAAGACTTGGATCAAGGAGAGAGGAGGAAGGGAGGCAGACACCTGAAAGGAAAGCACCCAGATCAAGGAGAGAGGAGGAAGGGAGGCAGACACCTGAAAGGAAAGCATTCAAATCAAGGAGATCCAAAAACAGAGAAACCCATTCAAAATAGAGACAGTACAAAAAGAAAGAGAAGCCAAATGAGCAAATAAAACAATCAGAGTTACAATGAAGAGCCACAGTACAAAGTTGAAGGGTGGAGATATAGCAAAGTAGTAATGATAAGATAAAGATGAGAAGATTGCAGGAAAGAAAGATACAAAGAAAGAGAAAGAGGTGCACCCAAGCAGACAGAATGGACACAATAAATTGGGGTTCAACAAATGCAGAAGAGTCCCAGCAAAGAAGTCAGGAAAATATTGAACAACTTGGAATTGAGGCAGAAGAGGGTCCATGAAGAAAAGCAGCCCAAGAATCATTATGATATACAGTAAAAAAAGAGATAGAAAGTCACATATATGAGTTGTGAGCTAGCAAACAGAAAAGGAGAGGATACCTGCTCCTTATCACAGAGGGAAGGTCCAGAAGCAAAGGCTGGATGTAGAAGAACTGGCAAAAATCAACTACAGGTGAGGCAAGCTCCACAGAAGGAAATGAAATGAAAAAAAAACAGACTTTTATTGGAGAATAAATAGGAACCAATTGCCTGATGCACAATAGCAGTAACAACACATTTCAAAAACATCAGCAGTGAACACAGTGTCTAACATGATTCATAACAGCTCTTCAAGATTGTGGTATTTAATATTTCCATGATATTTACAGTATATCACTATGGTTGAAGTCAAATACCTGTCACATACTAGACATTTGCTCAATTAAGTGAGCTAAAGGGATAACCAATGAATGTCAGTCCCATGAACAGATAAGGTGTCTCCAGTTGCCATTGCCTCAGTTGAAGTATATGCCTGAAGAGGAATTTCTGGGCCTTGGAATGTTTTTTTATTTGCATTCATTGTTGTATGTATCACAAAGAGGAAATATGAGTGGTTAAAGAAAATGAAGTTGCAATCAGGTGGACAGAACAAAGTGCAATGAGGACAAAAGTAATGTAGCACTAATAAAGATAGGTCATCAATCAAAGAGCATAGAAACTCAAAAAGCACAGGAAAAAAAAACATTTGAACACAGGCAATGCTGAGAAAATAATGAGCCTGTGATCATGTTCTAGGGTTCACAGAGATTATTGCACATTGAAATGTGTCCCCCTCCTATTGGAACAGCATTATGAAGATTATGTCTTAAGTTGGAATAATACATATAGACACATTTAGGGGTGGGAGTTTGTTCAAGGCCTGTAGCATTTTCAGGAAATTCCACAGCAGTTGCTCTTAGTGGTGCAAAGAGGTAACAAACCTTTCTGAAGAACATACTTAAGTATATATATATATATATACATATACCATGCTTACAGTAATGTAATTAATAATTTATCTGCAAATGAATATTTCTATATACAATATATCTTTAAGCATTTGTCTAATTTATCTCTCTCTTTGCATCAGTTTCATTTTTAAATGATGCTTTTTAACACTGAATAATATATACATATTTGAGTCTCATAATCTTGTAATGGACATTGGATTCATAAATGAAATAAATTTCATCTTGTAGAACTTTATATGTAGTAAGCAAAATATTTTGTACGACTCTCCCTCAAACTACATAAAGTCTTTTATTCTCTATATATCTATCAATAAAGAGACTGATATTTTACCCACACTAAATATTTTTGTTTCCAGAAAAGTTAAAAAAGCAATCATACCCAATACAAGAGGATCATTTTATCAAGATAAGTCTGTATGTCACAAGTGTACTTGTTGAGGTAATGATCTCACAAACTGTTTCATATGCTACACTTTACTTCATATATATATATATATACATATACATGTACCCACATTTATCAATATTACTAGAAAGTAATATTATGCTAAGCATGCATTATTGTTTAACCCTAATTCGTATTCAAATAACTAATTTATATTACAATTTATCACACCCTAATTTTTTACCTTTGGATACATACAGATTTCATAATACCATATAACTTTCCACCCATTCCTTTTTTTTTCAATAATATACAGAATAGTATTCTCTCCCTTTTGAACCTGATTACACAGAAGTATCAGGATGTATCTGACTCTAATACTTATAATGATGATAATAATCTCATCACATACAGACAGTCTCAGTTTTTTTGGATGTTTGGCAAAATAAATATTTTAGTGTCCAAACATTTTGGATTATATCTATAAGATATGATTACTTTCTTTAAAAAAAAAGTGTAGTAAAAAGCACATGGGATGGATATTTTTAATTGTTTTCAGAATAACATAAGCTAACTCAGATTGAAAATTATACACTAGTCAATTACTTCTGACAAATAATAATAAGTATAATTTTATAATTTCTTTAATTTCACAGCTCCATAAATTAATAACCAAATGAAACCACAAATACATCTTAATCACACACCATGATAAGTGTAAGTGTAGTAATTATTCCTTAACCTAATGATTAAAGACATTTCTTGAAATACTATGTACATGCTCCTAGCTATTACAACAAAATAAATCTTTCTCTAGAAAAGGTTGTTATAAATGAGCCAAAAAATACTGCACTAACCACAGCAATATGTGAATGCAGACCTAACAAGAATTAAAACCTTTCTCTAGAAAAGGAGGTTTTTACATATAATCAAATCTTCAAAATATTAAATTTTTTGTTGTGGTTTAAGCTGAAGGAGTTGCAAGGAATACAATGCACTATATTCTACTATTCAAATGAAATTTTAATCAAAAACCAAAGCTGTCTGATTAACAGAGCTTAAAACCTACCACCTATACTATTTTTTATTTTAAATACAACTTGAATCTCTGATGATTGCTTTTCTTCAATCACAACACATTAATTTATAACTATACCCTAATTCTATAAACACAAGAAGGAAAGAACAAACAGATAAGTGTTCCAAAAATCATCAGAACTAATTTTAACAGTTTATGACATTAAAGGCAAGACATCCAATAATACAAATCTTCTCAATTATCCTATATTGCCAAATAAGTCTCTTAAACAAGATATTTGCTGTGTGCAGTACTTCTACCCAGAATACAAATGCATTAATACCAGAAACTACAAAAAGCTGACTTCATTTCTGATTAAAATGCTTCTAAATTCTCTTACACACACATACCACTTTTTAATTTTCAATTTTAATATTTTTTAACTTATCACAGTAATTTTTATAAAAAATTAATCATTATCTGTGACCAACTTCTAACATGTTGCTTTTCTATTTGTGAGTTAATCTGTAATACTATTTTAGAGAAACATTGCGAGTCTAAACTACGTTAATTTCATCAGTCACCTTCTTTCATTTTGCATACACGATGCCACAGGATTATCTAATGTCGAAAACTGTCCAAAATTAGGCAACTAAATCTTACATGCTATCTAATGAGCATATTCCACTAGTTCAAGCCCAATCTATAAACAACTATTGCACTTTTCTACTTACATAAAATGTTATTAAATCAAGTTGGCTAACGTACAACCTCAAATATTTAGAATAAGAATCTTTTTACCCAATCTTTCACAGACAATTGCTGTTTTTTTTATAAAAATGACTGCTCTTTGATTCTCTTAAGTTTGTTCAAAAGAAACTATTTCCAAAAACAAGACAATGAAGTATTTATCAGTTCTGTAATGTAACATTCAGATCCAACTAAGTTTTGTGAGAACTCTTCCTAGTGCATTGACTTTTCCAGTTCAGGCATTAGATTGTCTACATCTATTTCAATACAATAAAGAGACTATGTGGATTCCTAGAAAATTTACTGATACACAACACAAATGGCAATTCACATAAACTGGACAACTGACATTAACATGCTCAGAAGTAAAAATTATTACACTATGATTACTACATCATAAAGTACTCCAAATGCTATATACTATAGCCAACTCATTATTAATATTCTTATCATGCATCAGTAGTCTGTAAACTACATGGTCTTTCCTGTACACAGATAGCTGTTCTGAACACATTAGTTTGCATATATTATTATTACTAATCAGCCCATACCTAACTCATAGTTAAGTATTTACACATTGCAGCTCAGTATACTTGCATGTCACATGTTTACAATATTTACATTGCTCTACGAAACAAAACAATAAACACCTTGTCCATAGCACAGAATTAAGCTCAATGTCATTCAATATCGTATGACTGTTGAGTTAAATTACAGTTTAAGCTTTCTGAAAAGATGACTGCACAAAATGTAAGTAGTATACTCACAAGTTATTATTAACAGTTAAGCCATAAGTTATTTGTGTGTAATGTATTATGTACTTGAAAATATGACAATAGATGTCATCTAATGATTATTTGCCAACAGAAACCTGAATAAGAAATAAGAAAAATGTGCTAACTTTGTTCCCCCAGTTTGTAACTTCAAACAAAAGCTAGCTTGTACGTATAACACCTATAAACTGGACAAGTGGCATTAACATGCTCAGCAGTAAAGACAATAACACTACGAATCTACAATTACTACATTACTACAAGAATAACGGAATTAGACACACGGTAACATTAACAAATTATACTATACTATTACTAGTACTACAGACTACAGTAAAACTATTATACTTTACAAATTACAGTGCTCCCACCTGCTGAAACTGTGTCGCTAAGATCGTAATTCACAGGGATATTTGGAAATTCTTTTAAATTTCTGCCACTGAGGTTCAACTGTCCACTTATCCTTGCTTCTTCGAGTATTAAATCTAAAGCTCGAGTATACTGATGACTCCCATTATGACCGTTGAAAGTCAAAGGGAATTTTTCCATGCTACTACTACTAGTTTATCTGTCATGTTCCTACCGAGCTTCTCTACTGGCGTCGATATACTTCACCATACGCATCATGGGATTGGTACAGAGGATAGAGTTGAGTCACACGTAGTTGGGGCTCTTTGATAATCGTAGTAAGTAGAAGACAGGTATCCGCCAGAGCAATAGAGCTCACGTTCTCAGCGGGGAACCTCAACTGAACAACAGGAGAAGAAGAATGGGGAATTCTATGAGGTAGAAAAATAATCAACAAATCAGTTTTGCTTATCATATATTACCTACTTGTGTACGTTTTTAATTGTAATAAGCAAAAAATAATTTTAATAAAAGAAGCAATATAATAAGTCATTTATATTAGTTTCACAACACAATACAGTCTTCTAAACATCTAAACGCTTTGCAGAGATTTATACACATATATCCTAAATTTTAGTTTTAAATTTAAATTAAGTAAAATTCATCCATATCGGTTGTTTCATTTTTATTTTTGCGAAACATTTTAAATTATAGTGTATGCATATGTTTGTTTGTTGTTAAGCGCAAAGTTACACAATGGACTATCCATGCTCTGCCCACCACGTGTATGGAAACCCAAATTGTAACCTGCAGACTTACCGCTAAGCCACTGGAGGGCTATACGGTATGATTATAAAGACGCATAAAAATCTTAACTAAATTGTAATAGAACAAAATTAATCATAATATATTTCTTGAAGTCCAGAATCATATAAATGTTGTTTTTTTCATTAAGTGCGTTCGTGCTTTTAGTTATATCCACTTATTATTCAACTGACTTGTTTTGTCTCCGCAAAGAAAGATAGCATAAAAATGTTAAATAAAAACATCTGTGATTACATAATGGCTGGAGACGGCTTGAATGGGTAATGAAGAAAAACTTTAATATAAGTTTAACATAACAGCAAATGTACAACGTCTCGACAAGGTTTTGTCATCATCAGGTACCTTTTTTTTTTTCAGGTTACGTTGTTTGAAGATAGTTTCACGGTATGATTGGTTTATGGTAGTGGATTGGTGAGAGAACATACTTAAAAAGTTATACATGGAATAACAAAGATAAACGTTTAGACATACACCACCTCGATTAATCGCCGTGATGAATTCAAATTCGATGACGAGGAACCCACTTTGAGACTAATAATGGCTGGAGACGGCTTGAATGGGTAATGAAGAAAAACTTTAACATAACAGCAAATATACAACGTTTCGACAAGGTTTTGTCATCATCGAATCTGTGATTACACTTGTACAAAATATAAAATTAACAAATTTAATTAAATTTTGATTGTAGAATTGAGTGTGGGACTGTAGTAGAAGATAATTAATTTTCTTTTGAGGTTTAGAGTCGGCATCAGTTTATTCTGTTTTTATTTTTGTATCATTTTGACTGCTTATTTCATATTCTCTATGAACTTGTATGTATAAAAGATTCATGATAAATTACGAAATAAGCCTTGATTTCAGAATTTTATAATAAAATTACAAAAAAAAAATAATGCCATGTGTCGAACCTTTAAGCTTATACCATAATAGTTTTAAAACATAAAATGTACTATTTATCTGTTGTACAATAGCTCTTACTCAATATATTGAATATTAGGCTGGTCTTTCCCCCTCACCTCCAAGATTACAAGAAGTTATCAGTGCTTCTAAAGCTGCTGACCGAGTTTTAAGAGACCATGTGCTGTTCTCAGTGCATTGATTTACATTAGAATAATGAACAGTACCCGCAATAACTTGAGCAACAGAAAAAATTTTCAGAGTTAAAGTGAGTTTCATAGTTGATTTAATTCAAGGAAAAGTCTGGACAAAAGTTGGCAATTGAAAACAAGTAATTATTTGTTGAACAAAAGACAAACAAGTTCAAAACAGCAGGATGTGTTTAGGGAATAAAGGAAACTTTCTTGTCCCTCAGTTATTAATTCGAAATGGAGCAAATTTTATGCGAGTTTTATGATTTACAAGTTACTTGTATTAAAGAAGAGCTAATAATGAGGAATAATATGCAGTAACTTGAAAAGTAAGAATGTTCTGCAATGTTTGCAAAATATGTCGAAATGACAGATTATGGATTCCAGGTGTTACACCTCTAGTCGTTAATTGATTTTCCGTAACTTCGTTCCGACGAAACTTCAGCGACATAAGTCCTTACTTAATAAAACTGGTTTATTCTTTCCGAATATAACTTTACGATACACTCAACTTCAACAGTCGCGCTATAACAAACTATAATAACGACGTTAACTTCAACAATACGTCTCTCTCTGACCACAGTTCAATTACTCATTACCTACACACACATTACCGTCACGTTGTCACCCTCTTTTATATACCAGACTACCCTATATCTAGTAAATGCTAGAGCATTTGCCAAAGTACAGGACAGTTCTAGAAAATAGAGGGCGTAAGAATAGTCACGTGATCTCGATGACGCAACACT